AGCCTATGAACAGCTGCCCTGAGGTCAGGGTATGTCTAGGGAGGTTAAAGTATTCTGCCACAGGCCTTTGATATAATAGCAGCTCAGAGCAAGGTCTGAGTCTGGCTTTGTTGATTTGAGTGGCTCCCATTTTGGGAGCATATTGTAATTATAATTGTAGGAATCCATCTTCCAGATCCTTAAAGTGTGTCGGTGGGATTGGAGCAGATACAGCTGTAATGTAGAGTTTGGCTGTAGACAATGGATGTAGTGGTGTGTTTAGGCTGGTGGGGTGACAGTAGCTGTGATGGTCATTTGATTTCCGGTACAACACGGTAGCTGTTGCAAACCTTTGCTGTAGTGTCTAGGAAATGAATTTGCTGTGTAGAGTATTCCAGAGTTAGTTTGTTAAAGTCCTGGTGACATTTCTCTAGAGATTTCTTCCCACAATGAAGACATCATCAATGTACCTTAGGTATATTAGGGGGAAGAGAGGGCAGCTGTGGAGGAAGTGGACCCTGCCATGGTCCAAAACTAGGCAGTAAACCTTTAAAAAAATGACTTGAATGGTAAATTCTATACAGTGCTTTGTATACTATACTACATTTCTATACACTGCTCGACTTCACCCTAACACCACTACCTATGTCTGCCTTACTTAAGTCAATTTGAGAGTTTAATCTTTAAAGTATGAGAGCTCAGCACTTCTGAAAATTGTTGAGAAGCCAAAATTGCTTGTTATGTTTAAAAACTTGGAACAGTGTGAAAAAATGAACTTTTAGTGATTTATTTTGGTCCTTCTTGTCTAACACATGAACTAAAGGTTATGACAAGTTAACTTGCTTTTACCTGGTCTTTTACTTGGAATGATTCACAGAAGTAGACCAGGTAACCTCATAAAAATCACTTGGGCAATATAATAATAAACCATTATGCCTGATAAGCCTCCTTACACGTCAACCAAAAGATCCACAGCTTTCCCCCACTTGAAGATTTCAGATAGAGATTTGTACTATAGCACAGAAGAGTATACATGTGCCCACCAGAAAAACATAGTAATATTGTGAAACTTGGGTAAAAAAGCAAATCTATTTTTCTGCAGTACCAGAGTCTATCACCCAGCAGACCCACCAGGCTACTTCGATGGACATGTGTGGCCTATGTATTTGAAACATAAAAGTGAATTTGAAGAAAAGACAAGCAACATTGGTATGGTGTATGTCATCTTTACACACACAAATTAGTGTTCCCCCTGTAAGAGTGAGCCAGGGGCTCCTGTTACTCTAAGGGAGAAGCTGAAGCAGGGATGTCACCAGGTTGGGGAAGGTTACATATTACGGGCTAGCTGCCGGGGAGTAAGCAGCCAGGGACCCAAAAGCTGCCATGTGCCTATTGCAGGGCTAGCTGACTAGCAGTAAGGGAGTGGTGCGGAGCCCGGGTTAGGCAGCAAGAGCACTGGCATTAAGCTGCCCTGGAAGCTGAGGGGCCACACCTCCATCCGGTCAGGAAAGCACCTGGCCAGAAGCGGGTAGCCAGGGCATATAAGCCCAGGCCCCTGAGGCAGAAGAGAAGTCCAGCCCTAAACTTTGTGAGAGTGGCACTCCTGCCAACTCAGGCTGGGGGGTAGTAGGAGCTGCAGGCCATGGTAGGTACTCCCAGGGCAGAGGGAGCCAGAGAGTGGGAAGATGGCCTGAAAGTGGTATGATGACCCAGATGAAGGGACTTTGAGTTTAAAGTGATTTGTTCTAGTTGATACTGGATATGGCTGTCAGGGGTGGAAAGGAGACCACAGCGGTGCCTGAGGAGCACACTGTGCTGTAAGTCCTGCTAGGGGTAGGGTCACAAGGCACAGGCAGGCTAAGGCCAAAAAGGCGAGGGCCTGAGCCCAGAGGGTGACAGGAGCAGCCTGAGGCTGAGAAGCCCAGGACCTGAGTCCTGAGTGCAGTGACAAGGTGGCCAGGGTTTGTCAAGAGGCTGAGACTGAAAGCCTTGGCCAAAGCCAGTGAGCCTAGGCTACCAGTCTACAGCCAGAGTAACCTGTAGGCTAAGGCTAACAAGGATGAAATCTATACAAGGGAGTAACTGGCAACCAAATGACATTTGTGAGGCATGAGCAGGGCTGTAGGGGTGGAAGGAAGCCACAATTAGCCTTTAAGGCAACTGGTGCCCTGGGGCACAGACGGGATCAGGAGGGCCCCACTTAGTGCTTGAAGGGCAGGACTGGGATCAGCTGCATCCGGGAGGGACCCACGGGCCAAAGACCAGACAAGGGCTCACTCCGGGACCCTGGGACAGTCTCCCTTTATCAACAGAAAATAATTCCACCAAGGTGTAGCAGGTGAGAGGAGAAGGGAGGGTACCCAAGGAGCTGGAGTGGTGCAGAAGCCATGGCCACGCCTGGGATCTGATCCTGTCACACACTGGCCTCCCCACCAAAAAAAAATTGTATACTTTTTCAGAAACTTGCATGGCATTTGTGCAAAAGGTTTAGATCCATTAGCTCTAATATTTTTAGTACTCTTTGTGGTAGGAATGTCTTGTCTCTCTAACATTTACAGCTGAAAACAAAACCACATTGGTCCACTTGATCGGTGAAGTCCATGAAATGAGCGTGTGTGTGTCCTGTGATTAAACATACAGTCACAACGTGTATTCATCAGTTAATGCAATAGAGCAAAGTTTAAAGTGTAGATTTAGGTCTTGAATAGAACAAGGTTACACAGATTTCTCCATGTGCCTGTTGTGTGTATTGGCACAGAGGCTGGCATTAGAGGGTGCGTCTACATGTGCATGAATGTGCTTTAGTTAACGTTCATTTAATCTAGTACCTCCATTGTGAGGTACTAGGAAAATGCACATTAGCCTGTCTTAATGCACATTAACTAAAGAGCATGCTTTTTAAGTGACGCTTAATGCATATTAGCCTGTTTTGATGCACATTAAGTAAATAGCACTGTTTTTAAAGTGATGCTTTAATGTGCATTAAAATAGGCTAATGCACATTAAAGCACACCTGTAGACGTACCCAAGAATGGTAAGCTATGCAAAGTTATTAGTGAAGGTAAATTAGCATAAAGTTTGCTTGTGCTATGAGTCTGACCATGCAACATATTGGGCAGCTCCTGCAGGTTGCTGAACACTTTTGAATTGCACTGAAATAGGAGTCAATTACATGCAAGACTTACCAGGATTAGGGTTTAAGCCTTCCCTTCTGATATTGGTTGATACTGTGCCAGTCTTATGTACCAAAAAGATTAAAGGTGAATTTCACTGCAGTGAAAATGGCCAGTGCATCAAAAACATATTATGTAGAACCTCCTCCAGGCCCTCTCCATGGGGATGAACTGTACCAAGATGGGGGAATCTGTTGAAGTCTGTGTTTAAATTTATGCGAGTATGTGAGAGACGAGGTTGTGAAGAGAACAGAAACTATTACAAAAACCTTTAGGGGCCAGGTCCACTTGGTCACTTGTAAATGCATTACGCTGGAATTACAGGGCATGTTGTCATACACTATCCTTATCTATACTCACTTGGCTCCCTTGAGACTAACGACTCCTAGCGCTGACTTACAATTGTTTTAAAGAATCTTGAAATATCTTTGCTTTAAACAAAACAAAACAAAAAAATGCCCAGCTATGAAATTAGTGGAAGATTGATATTGTAAAAGTGGCTCTAAGGGTATTTTTTCACTGTTAAGAGAATTTCTGCTTGTTTCTGTTACTTTACAGAGTTGCTGCTCTTTTCTCTTGAATGGAGGGTAAATACAGGATTACTGTTTTTCAGACTAGGCAATAAAGAAAGAGCTTAAGAATTGCTTGTTTGTTAAGACTGATTGATATCACTATGAGTGGTCAAAAGCCCATACTGGACTTTTTCAAAATGCTGGATGTCTTTTCAGGAGAAGGAATATAAGATTCCAGAAAAGTTGTATCAAGATTACTTAATAACTGCTTACTCAGTATTGTGAGAGACAGTAACTCAAATTAACTCTTCCAGCTCTTTGCAAAGGGCTACCATGTTCATGGGAAACTATTTCTGCTGAATTGCTCAGTCTACCATAGTCCTGTGTTCTCTATCTTTTGGGAAGTTTGTGGGCCAGTAATATTTCTAGATTAGGCTCAGATTTGGGGCTGGATTGATCCCCTTAATTGTGTACAACTGAAATGGTATTGAGGACAAATATTATTTCTGTTGGAACACTATCCACCAGGGGGTTCCATGGGGGTTGTATTAAGAATGAAATACTATACAGATGTGTTGGAAGTAACAAACTATATCATAGAATCATAGAAGTAGGGTTGGAAGGGACCTTGTAGATCTTCAAGTCTGACCTCCTGCCTGAGAAAAAACTGGGCTCAAATGATCTCAGCTAGGTAGGCATCAAGTGTCCTCTTAAAGACCCCCAGGGTAGGAGCCAGCACCACTTCCCTTGGAAGTTGGTTCCAGATCCTAGCCACCCTAACTGTGAAGTAGTTCTTATGGCTGTCTAATCTAAACCTACCCTCCAACAACTTGTGGCCGTTATTCCTTGTTATGCCAGGGGGTGCTAGGGGAAACAAGGTCTCTCCCAAACCCTTCTGGTCCCCCCTAGTGAGATTATAGATGGTCACCAGGTATATTATAGCATAATAATAGTTTGAAATCCTTCTTGTTTTCTTCTATCTCAGTTTATTTGGATGGTACGGAATCCCAAGAAGAGCTTTTATCCCATATGTATAATGATATAATACAGGAGCTAGAAATACAGAAAAGTAAGTAGTTTTATGGGAAATTGTAATGGGAGAGAGGAGGCTCATAGTAACAAAAATCTACATTAACATTGAGTAATGGACTCCAAAGTAATGATTTAATCATGAGAGAGAAGAGAAAAGTAATGTATGAGTTTTCACAGTCCTCAGTTCTACACCATATTTGTTTTGGGTTTTACAAAACTCTCTAAATTCCCAAATTATTGCAAAGGGAGTGATTAATCAAGTCAAGCTAAGGTTCTCTTTTTAGTTAGATTTTTGCTACTTCTGAATATTAAAAAGGAAATAATTAAGTGAATCCTGGCACTAAGCTAAATTGAGTTTGTAAAGGAATACAAGCTCAATCATTTTTGAAGAGCTACAGGAGAAAAACAATTATATGAAAAAGAAAGCTTGTATTCGTTTTAATAATTGGTACCAGAAGTCCAGTGTATAATTGTTATGTGTAATAATTAGACTACCTTTGTGAGATTCTTGTGTTGCACTGAATGTATACCTACATTCTCTGCACATACATTTTTGTAGCTATGTATATCTACATAGCTCTGTGCACACATTTTTGTATCCCTGGACACTGTCGAGTTTTTTTTTCTTTTTTTTTTTTTTAAGCCAGTCATTAGCAACATTGTACTTGGGTATTTATATTTTGTGCCTTATGAAAACTCTGATTTTAGTGGCCTTCTAAATAGTTGCGTGTGAACTTTACTAATAACAAAAACATTTAGAACAGAACTGGAGCAAAACTCAAAGTAAGTTAATATCTTGATGGTGGCTTTATCCCAACTCATAGCCTATGTAACTGACAATCAGAAAGAAGGCCATCACAGGTATCAGTTAATCACCTGAAAATACAATGAAAATGTAAATGAAAAAAATTAAAAATGCAGTCTGTCAAACTGTCTCCCATTGCCTTATGAATGAAAGAGAAGTTCAATGTCTTTAATCAAGACTAGATGCTAAATATAACTTGTATCATGGCAGCTTCAGAGCTACACATTAGGGCTGTGCGAAGCTTCGGGCGATTTGAGTTGGAGGAGATTCAGCCTGATTCAGTGGCCGAATCTCCGAATCTGAATTGAATCAGGGGACCAATTTAAAGGTCTAAATCGATTCAAAGCTCTCTGAATCTTCGGCAAAGATTCGAAGAACTTTGATTTGGAAAGTCCCCAGTGGCTGCAGCAGGGAGCTGCAGTCATTCGAGTTGGTAAGTACTAGGGGTGGGGGAAGGGAAGCTGGAGGAGGGGGCAGGGGACCATGGGGGGAAACTCTGCCAGCCCTTCTGACCACCACCTGCTCACCCAGCCCTCCCATGGCTGCCCCCCCACCCCAGCTTGATACTTTAAAAAAGTGCTGTCGGGCAGGGGGCAATCTCCGCTGCCCCCCACGCTGCATGGGGGGCTCTGCATGAGCCCCCTCAACCCTGCTCCCCCAGCCCCCCACAGCTGCTCTGCCTGCTTTGGCCCTTTAAGAAAAAAAAGCCAAGAAAAGCCCTGGGACTTGCTGCTCCTGGTGCAGCCTTGGGGTTTGGGGGCTCCTACAGAGCCCCCCATGTGGCGCAGGACAGCGGGGGGAAGCAGGGCAGAAGCGGTGAGTCTGGGGGTTTCTTCAGATTTTTTTTTTCTTTTTAAAGGGCTGGAGCTGGCTCAGGCATGGCATCTGTGGGGGTGGTGGGGGGTCGGAGGGCTCATTCAAAGCCCCCCATGCAGCATGGGGCAGCGGGGATCGCCCCCTGCCCAGCAGCGCCTGCTAATCTGGGGCTTCCCCCCCCCCCAAGTGCTGGGAGCTGGGGGCAGCCATTGCCAGGCTGAGAGAGAGGTGGGGGATGGGCCTGGCTTGGCTGATTTGGAGATTTGGCTGAATTAAATCAGGACAGCGATTCAAATCGCCAAATCGAATCACTGTCCCCCGAATGGGCTGAATCCAAATCCAAAGCAAATACTAGCTGCTTCGTACACGCCTACTAGACATGTTGAATGATTGGGTAAACTTAGAAGTAAAAGATGTGTTTGAAAGTTTTTGAGAGAAAGTGGTAAAAATCTATTTTAAGCCAAAAATGTGTTTTGAATTGATTTGCGCATTAAGGGAAGAATTTCTAATCTTGAAGTTTGGACAGACAGTAATAATTGTGGTAGATAGATACCCTATAGTATCTGTGAATTGATGTCTCTATTTATATTTTCTTTTTTAGGTGAACAGGTCACAGCACAACGTTTTGGAAGTTCGGATTCTGTCCGGTACTAAGTATTTTATGGTGCTTAGCAAATAAGCTCTGAGAGCACAATAAAATGTGTTGAACTCAATACATCATCAAGTAGTTTTAGACAATATTTTTGGCCTTCTTCCCAAGAGTGATATTTCTAATCATGCAACACACTTCAACCTTGATTTAATACTTAATCATAAAATCATCTTATACCTAGAAAACTAGCCCTGAATATTTGAGAAATATTGTGTCATAAGCATATATGAAAGTACATGTGCACAGTAGAATGTGTAAGGAAACTGTTTTTCAAATATGATTTCAAAATGATTGCATGAGTAATATAGAAAAAATAGAGGTAATAGCTGATAGAATCATATAACAAATATTCTGCGATCAGCTGTGGTTAAGAAGTCAGCAACCATTTCAGAACATCATTTTTTTAAGATCAGAGAGAGAGAGAAAGTTCTTTTGCTTTCATATGGTGTTTCTTATACCACAGCAGGAATATTGTGTATGTCTTAGAGCAGGGGTGGGCAAAATGTCCCTGGGCTGGATGTGGCCTGCCAGACCATTCTATGCAGCCTGCGGGGCCCCTAAAAAATTTAGAAAATTAATATTTAGCTGCCCCTGGCTGCCTGTCATGCGGCCCTCGATGGCTTGCCGAAACTCAGTAAGCAGCCCTCTGCCCAAAATAATGCCCGCCCCTGTCTTAGAGTCCTCTGGAAAGGAAGACTCTAGTGAATAACAATTACGCTACTAGAAAGAATTGGAAGATATTAAGAAAGGTAGTTGGAATGGCAAATAAATTATCAAGATTAAAATTTGTGCAGTCTGGAAAATGGAGATTTTGGTGGCCTGAGATTTTGGTTGACAAATGCATGAAAATATGCGACAAAAATGAAAAGGTAGGAAATCTCACCTAATTACAATTAGAATTTAACATACTTTAGAATGCAGAAAACATAGATCAAGGGTTTTATAAATATAATAAATATTTATATAAGCAAAATTAGTTCAGTTCCTTAGTTGGTCTAAACAATGTGGTTTTTCTTTCCTGCTCTCGTCTCTTAACCACATTTCTTCTTGTGATTTCCGATAAATGAGAAATGTCTTTCCTTTTCCTTTGCATCATTCTTTTATGCATGTGTAAGCCACAATACACAGAGACAAATCGTTTGAAATAAAACATGTCAAAGATTGCCTGGGTACTCTAATCTTAAAAGGATCCAGACTATAAAAACCAAATAAAGTTTTCATCAGCCTTAAAAGGGTCTATGATTGTTCACTTTCAGACATTTAGGCTGTGCAAGGACATACAGTGTTCGGATAGAACATAAGCTACTAAAACACCCGTGGAAAACCTGTGCAGGCATTTTAATCATGCCAATAACATTTGCCTTTTGCAAAATCTTACTGATTTTATTAAAGGCACCACTAACAGTTTAAAAAAAAAAAAAGTGTGGGAGGGTTGGGTTCTCAGTTGTTCTCATTAAGGCTTCCTACCTGGTTATTCAGATGGCTCTAGCCTTAGAGTCAAAGCTAACTGCAGTTCTGACTAGTTGAGAAAGACTATAAGGATTAACCATTTACCAGTTTCCCAAATGAGCCCACTATATGTAGCTTAGACTTTTTATTTGCCTGAAGACTATACTTATAAGCTGTCCTGACCAATTGATTAATTTGCTGTATAGCCAGCAGTAAGTTGAAAAGATATTTGTGGTCATACATTGTGCTTCACTGGAATCTGATGCGTTTTAGTGCAACTATATAGAAGTTTTATTTGAAGAAATATTTCCTAATGCTGATCCTTGTGTTACAGGTTTTATGAACAATAAAAGTTACTTTATTTTGTATTTACCCAGATGGCTTGATGGAATGAGAAATAGCTTTACTTTTTACTTTTTTCCTCCTGGGGCTTGGTGCAATCACATGACAGCAAAGCAAATGTGAGAAATTGTTTGATAACTGGCCAGACATTTTTTTTTTGTTTATACTTTGCAAGCTCTGGCCCTAACAGACTGTGATGTGTTTTCTTCTTGTATTGAAAAGTTCTTGGATAGAATCTCAGATAATGTCATATATATGAAGTGGCAGAGTAAAATTGTGATGTTTCTGGGCTTAATTATTCTCTCTTTTTTTTTTTTTTTTGAATGACCATAATTTTGCACTTGGTCAGGTGCTAAAACTAACAGGCCTATTGGAAGAGAGAAACTCTAAATTAAATCGAGCAGAGTCAGATTTATGAAACTTTCACACAGAGCTCTGTTGAAGGGACTTGTTCAGTAGGTGAGCAAGTGACCTTATTAAATTCTTGGCTTTATATAAAACAGTGGGGGCTAACTTTTTTGGCAGGCATGCCACAAATTGGCCCTGCACCTTCCCTAAGTGCCTATCTGATCCTCTTCCTCTGCTTAATCTGCTACTTTGCTTTCTACCCTTTGACTAGACTGTGTCTTAGTGGCCTTAGAATAAGCTTTTAGAGAGCCAAGTTAGTGTCTGCTGCCAATATGCTGGCTTTCCTGTTTTCTTCATAACACTATGCGGGCAGTCTTTGGTGGACAAAAAAGAGATAAACAGGGGTTTGGTGTATTCCAATCCATGATTTTAACTATAGAGTCCATCTTTTTCTTCTTTTAGCTGCTTGGGTATACAGAATTATATTTCAGTTTTACAGTCACCATAGCTATGCTGCCTTAGAATAGTGGAAATCTGAGGCCTGGTCTCTATTTTTGTCTAGCAGATGAGGAATACATTTGGACAGTAACCAGTGTGGATGGGTATAAACTTATAAATAGGTATAAACTTGTATATAGCTTATTAAATTAAATTTGCTAAGTTATATCCATATAAGTATATGGTATAACTGCACGCACAGTAGGGAGCTGCATCAATTTAAATACCGGCTTCTGAACTAAAAT